ATGGACGTGAGAATGTTGAATCACACAACAAACTGATATGTAGCTTCACAAGAGAAAAGTGTATTTCACACTAAACTCAAAATGAAAAGAAACACAAAGAACTTGTCTTTGAAAGAAAACTTTATGTTTATTAAAATCTATGATTAAGGGTGAATTGTACAATGACATTACTTGAGCTTATATAGGCTCGACTCTAGGACTATTACGACAGTCTGATGACTCAGAAGGAAATAAAATACACGAAATTAAGTAGAAAATATGATAGAGTTGCCTACGCGTAGCGTGAGTCCAAACCTATCAATATGTTCTTTTTCTTAAGTACCCATATGTCCATCCTTATGTGGATATTTTTCATATGTTCTTAAGTCATTCGATATGTACGAGGATCTCTAGCACACACATAAGGATGGACATATGGGTACTGGGTCCGGGTTCGAGTAGAACACTATCGGATTCCGGTCTACCGGATTTTGAATTGAAGACTCAATAGTGTAATTATACATATACCTAGTTTATCCCTCTTGTTACCAGGATCTCAGAAATTGATCAATGGTCCATTTAAATAGGTATTATTTACATTTTTCAACAAGAATATTTAGTTAAAGAAATGGTTTGGTTACTTAAATCGGAGTTGTAGAAATTATAAGCTGTAAGACTAAAGTCACAATAATGAATTCAATTACATACGAAGCACCAAACAATAGCCATTAGATGTTAAACTGCGAGAAATTAAACAAAAATAAAAGATAAGAAAAATCTCTTCAAATCCAAGTGCATGGTTAAGGTTGGCTACGCATGAGGACTAATATATCATCTCTACTAATTTTGAGAAGTCTATTCAAAATGCAATTGCATTTTTCTAATGTTCAACCGTATACTCGCGCGATTACCTATATTGAAAAGTTGGGTTCTGAATGAAGGAAGAAAGACTCCTACAAAAACTTCTATCACCCATCAAGAATATAATGTTTATTCCCCATTTTAAAAATAAACCCAATCTTCTCAAATTAACTAGATGAAAGCCCGCGCTACGCGGCGGGATATTGTTTTTATAAATAAATTTGTATTTTCTCATATTTTAGTAGTTTTTACTTTACTCTTATTTACATATGTAAATATTAATAAACATATGTTAAATATTACTTTGACATAATAAACTATTGATATAAACACACAGATAATTAATTTATTTGTTGATATAAACTCTCACATAATAGTTCAAATTCATATTATTTTATAAATGACAAACTAAAAAAATCTCAATGATAACTTCTATCTTTCTTCTTTTTTTTCTCTTTTTTTTTTGTAATTTCACTCATCAATTGAAATTCTAATGCTAGATTTCATACTAATGGTTTCATCTTTATACGATTTAATAAAATGAATTTTGTTTTTATTATAGTTATTTTTTCTATATTTCACTCCATTTAAATATGAGTGCTAGGTTTAATTCTAACTAAATTAAATTTCCTTGACACATATGATTTCTTTTTGTTTTCTTAAAACCCTTGAACCTATATTTATAAAATAGAGAAATTGTTAAAAATCCCCCTTTTTCAATACCCCTTTTCAAAAATGCCCCTTTTGAGAGTCCATTTTTAAGTTTGCCCTCTTTTAATTTTTAATGACCATTTTACCCTTATTTGAAACAAAATTAGGTCCACAAAATACAAAATATTTTTTGGCGGGAAAAGTGATCCGGCAATTTTCCCGCCAAAACACTTGTAAAAACCTTTAAAATACCTTGTAAAATTTTCCCGTAAAAATTTTTCCCGCCAAAAATTTTTTTTTTGCTGGAAAAGTGATTCCGCAATTTTTTTGGCGGGAAAAATTTACAAGATATTTTAAAGGTTTTACAGAGTATTTACAAGTGTTTTGTAAGGTTTTACAATATATTTTAAAAAGTTTTACAAGGTACTTATAAGGTTTTATAAGGTATTTATAACTTGTAAAACCTTATAAAAAACTTGTAAAACCTTATAAAATAGCTTGTAAAATCTTATAATATCTTATAAATACCTTATAAATACGTTGTAAAACCTTTTAAAATACATTGTAAAACCTTATAAATACCTTGTAAAAAACCTTTAAAATACCTTGTAAATTTTTTCCGCCAAAAATTTAACGCCAAAAAAATTGCGGAATCACTTTTCCCGCAAAAAAAAATTTACGGAAAAATTTTACAAGGTATTTTAAAGGTTTTACAAGTTTTTACAAGTGTTTTGGCGGGAAAAATTGCGGGATCAATTTTCCCGCCAAAAAATATTTTGTATTTTGTGGACCTAATTTTGTTATATTTCCTTATATATTTGTGATATCTTTTATTAAAAGAAGGGTAATTTAGTCATTTTGTACATAAAAGGGGTATTTTTAAAAATAGACAACCAAATGGGGCATTTTTGTGAGTCTCCTATAAAATAAACATTATATCAATCTTTACGATCTTTATATAATTATCTATTGGATCACAAAAACTAAATATAACGATACATGTATTAAAAATTAAATACATTTCCTATAAAATTATATGAAGTGCAATCAAAAGCTTTAAAAAAATCCCAAAGATTACTTTCATTGTTTAATCTCTTTTTATATTCTCATTAACTTAAGTTATATTGCTAAACAAATTCTATATTTCTATATATAGAAAACATTTTACACTACAAAATTTGAATTAATTAAAATTTTTAATGATCTTTATATAATTATATGTTGAATTAGAAAAAAAAAACTAAATATAATGATGAGTATACTAAAAATATGTATTACAATTTTTTGGAGGTAAGAGAGAGTTAAGGGAAATTAATTTGATAATTGTATTACAAAAAAATATTTCCTTTAATCATTACATAGTTTTTAAAATAAAATAATTATACAAAAATATGTAAGAAATACTCAGACATCCATTAACTTGATTCCCTTATTGTGCGATGGTCCGAAATAATATTTTAGAATCTGCACCAATAAGGTAATTTTATCATAGCCATCAAAATTATATTATACATATATAATTTATATCAAAAATATTATAAAAAGAAAGAAAGAAGGAAAAAGTACATAAAACAAAGAAAAAATAAAATTAAAAAGAATGTAAGATATATATAGTAAACAAATATATAATCGAACTCTTACAATGATATCTTAATTGAGTTTTCAACTCATGCAATACCATAAAAAAACAAAGAAAATATTTAGGATTTGAGACATTGTGGAGGAGGATGTGAGAATAGTTATTTATAGGAAAAAAGTGATGGAAGTTACATTTCTAAAATAATTAAATTATAGGAGTTACAATTATAATTATAGTGTGTTTAAATGATAATGAATAGAGAAAAAAACAGTCAATTCACAATTATGTAATTTCAGTTACAATTTAGTAGTAAAATGTGAATTTAAAGTATGAATTAATGTGTATAACTAAATGTGTTACATTTTAAGTTTAATTAAAAATAAATATTATATTTTTGAAAATAAATTGCCAAGTGGACCAATCATGGGAGAGTGAAACCCTACTTTTATATGTATGATTAATCCTAACCATGTTGAAGCAAAGAAAGACTGAAAACTAATAAATAACAAAATAAAGCACAACAACAAGCCGCAAATACCATTGAACAAAACTAACAAGAGAAGCACAAGTTGACGGAAGCAGAAAGTCAGCGAAGAAGGATCAGCGTAGTTCACAATCACCAAAACAAAGCTCCAAGAACGAATTGTCGTCGAAGTTGACTGCGATCCGAGGCCAACTCTCAAACCTTAGATCAAGCGGTGCCTACAACTTCTACTAGGATCTAATATAATTCTCCTTACTATAGGTATCACGTTTCAGCTTCTTTCCGTTCTGATATTAATCCTCACCTTGAAAAACGCATAAGCATGACATGTAAATCAATAACATTCTTCTCTGCCCGAAATATGTTGGCCTACAAAACATTTATGCCGATAATTAGGAGCTTTGACCCACAAAAAAAAGAAATTAAAAATAAAAGATATTAACCAAGAGGATTTGAGTCTTAAAAATATTACTCACAGAAAAATAACAAGCCAACAACTTAATATCAATTAGTTAAAGACATCCAAAAAAAATTGGGAATTTGTCTACCAAAGGTGCAGTTTGTAAACCACAATGTGGTGATTCACCTAAGAAAAATTCTCAAAACAGAGCATCTGATATCCACAATTCCACAGAGAGACTATACAAGCATTAACGTCAAGGGACTTCTAAATGACTTCTTTCGATTTTATGGAATGAAAACTATTTCCATTATTTTTTCTCTCTTGCTTTCTCATCATAATGTGACCGACCCCATGATCATTCATAATCAAACACAAATATACAGACAAAATATAATAGCACATCAACAACAATCAAACGTTAAGTGTGTAAAATGGTGCAAATCACCAAGTGTCTTTAGCTCAATTGGTAAAGACCCTAGGCGAAGCTTAGTGGTCGCCGGTTCGAGTGACGCTTGGGACGAAACTAATATTACATGCTGTGGTTTCGGGCCTGGTGGGATTACGGGATTTGGCCCAGAACCTCCTGGTATTCAAAAAAAAATGGTGCAAATGGATTGAGGAGATATATAGTGTTTTCCTAAACTTTTTCTCTAATTGGACGAGCAAAATGCAACTCTGCTCCATTGAGTAATTTGACTTTATTTCTGGGGCAATTACGTATATTTAGGTTTTTGGTGGGTTGGTTGAGGATACGAGGCACTTTAAAAGATTGATAATGTATTTAAACCGATTCGTCAGCCAATCAGTCATGATTCAAGTGTCACTAATATTTATTTATAGTTCATTTGTATCTACATGATTCTTTATATCTGTGCAAAACTGAATACAAAAAAACAAATAATAAACGTTACAAGTGCTCCATGTCAGACGAGATGCCATGCGAAATGAAAAACTATTATTTAACTTAAAGATCAGATTAACAACGTGCTTCTCTGTGAAGTCATTGCTCTTGTATAAATTTGGTGGAGAAACCTGGAGTTCCATATCACTGGTGGTGAACATGGAAGCCATAAGAGTTTTTGGACCCAAACTCTCTATTCGTTCTCAGACCAGTGCATTTCCGGCATGCAAACTCTCTCGCTTTCCGCTGACGTCATTTCCCAGTAAGCCTGCCCATCTTGTTCCTTTGAAGGCCACTACTCATCCTCTAGCTTTTGACGATGAAGAAAATAATCGCAAGTTCAGGAAGTTGGGCCCTTCTGAATGGGGTCATCAATTCCTCTCTGCTCATGTTGATCTCTCAGTAAGTCTCTCTGTCTCTTGCCGTTATATAGAGGATATGAAGTCATGTTTATACCTTTTTTATTTTAAAGGAAATGGATGCGCTTGGGAGAGAGATAGAGGCACTAAAGCCAAAAGTAAGGGACATGTTGATGTCTTCCAAAGGAACTGAGTCGAGCAAGAAGAAAATCCTTTTTATCTATTTGCTTGTGAGTCTTGGTCTCGCGTATCATTTCGAGGATGAGATCGAGGAGAGTCTAAACGATGGTCTTCGAGAGATAGAGGAGATGATGGCTGGTGAAGGTGATTTGTACACAGTTTCCATCATCTTCTGGGTTTTCAGGACATATGGTCACAACATTTCTTCTGGTAAGGATTAATTCTCTAGCTTGTTATTAGACGACCGTCGCCGTTTGGCATATGCAACTAGTATACAATGGCAATCAAGAAAATATATTTACTTGTGCACAATAAAACAAAATAAATCAATTATTAAAGTAAAACAAACCAAAAGGAAGAAAAAATTAAACATATACTAGAGATTGACGACTAGGTGCAACCGTGCAAGGGATCCCATTTCCTCCGACGTGGGTGTGCCGCAAAGTTACTATGGTAAAATTTTGACTATGTCTATTAGCCATATAAAATATGATTTTCAAAATTAGTAACTCATATAATCGTGTCACGTATCAAACATTATTAGTTTAGAATAAGTAACTACAGTTACATATAATTCATAATATAACTGGTTTTTTGAAATAGGGACTGTTCAAATATGTTTTTCGTATATTTTATCGAATTATTATTTTTTTGCTAAAATAACTATAAAATATTGATGTCAACAAAATACATAAAATGTTGAGATGCATAAATAAAGATTGTGATGGAAAAACTCAATAGTATCAAAGATGATTGAGAATTAAGTATAGTCATGTTCGAGTAAGACGTGTAAGACAAGTTACTAATATCTAAAGTTTAACTCACATTATAGTAATAATTTAGTTTTAAAAAAAATAACTTACATGAGTTAAGGATATTTAGATAGAATAGATAAATTGAGATGACAGTTAGAACATTAATATAGAAAAAATGTGTGGATTTCTATTTAAAATTAAAATATCAGAAAAAACTAAAACAATAAGATGGAGTATGTAGAACTAAATTTTTTAGCTCTTATCTACGTACTAAGATGCAGTGTGTATAATTAAACCGTTTATATATTATCATAAAATAAATTGTTAAATTGTATTGCAAAATAGAATAATATGTCAAATTGAAATTTGGTTAAAATAAATTAGATAAAAAATGTATATTACTATTTAAAATTCAAATATTATCAAAAATATATTTATTTCTCACATCCGCCTCTTTAGGCGGGCTTTATCGATTACAAAGTTATTTCAAAGTTAGTAACTCATAGGATCGTGCCACACGTCAACTTTATCGATCTTAGATTTTGACACGTGTAAAACAATGTTTTCTTTTTATTAATTTTAAAAATATAAAAAGATAATTGCAAGAACATAGAAATTTAAACAATTTTAAAAATGTAAAAAAATAATTATATAGAAACTAGACATATCTTAATATACAAAAATAGAAATTATAAAATCATTTACTAATTCGAATTTAAATTTACTAATTCTAAAAGAAAAAGAGTACTTTTCCTTAAAATTAAAAAAGAAGAAATTATATATTTAATGAATAAAAAGAGCACTTCAGTGTGTTTCTATCGGGACTGATCAGATCAGCTGATAAGGTTTATAAAAAAAAAAGATAATTATGGAAATTATATAATAAAAAGGTTTGAGAAATTATATAATTAATTAATAAAATATGATAATTAAGAAAATTATACAATCATTTATTAATTCTAGAATAAAAAAGATTTTAAATAATCACCTCTATATAAACTAATAGATAGTCTCATATTTTCTCACCAAACAAAAATATTTCTTCAAAAGCACCCGTGCTTCAACTTCGATCTGTTGCTAAGGCTTTTTTAGGGTAAAAATCTTTTGTTTTTCTTAAACAAAAAGGAAAAAAATTACAATTTTTTACATGTTACTAGCTAGTCAATAAAATTTGGCAATAAGTTTTTAAAATAAAAATCATTTAGCGTAGATACTAACTAATAAAAATGACTATTGAAGTTCAAAATAACAAATAAAGTTATTAACATTAATTTAATTGGATAAAAATTGTAGTTATCATTGTATAGTGGTTTTATTAGCTAAATGAAAACATGAAAATTTTGGAAAAGTAATGAGTTTATAAGAATTTTTTTTTTTTTTTACTTGATCAAAATATTATTATATTCATACTTATTTTTGTTCTAAAATTTTTAACTAAGTGAAAACACCAAATTTTGGAAAAATGGCTTATATGAATTAATTTTCGATTACTTGATGAGAATGTTAGGTATGTTTGTTATTTGTTAATTTTTTTTAATATTAACTAAGATATAGATTTGATATCATATTCATATTTTTTGACATAATGTTTTTAGCACTTATCTATTAAGGTGAAGTATGTAGAATTAAAATATATCTTCTTATTTAAAACTCGATTTTCAAAATTAGTAACTCATAGGATCGTGACACGTGTCAAGTCTATCGATATGAGTTTGACACGTATAAAAAGAGAAATTATATAAATATAATGTGATGATTTGATTTAAGATTTATATTATTTATTTTAATTTCCTTTCCAATTGGAAATATGTAAAAGAAATATTTTTTGAGTCAGCAAGTGTTTAAAAAATTATGCAAAAGTAAAAGTAACAATACTTATAGTTAGTGTAATGTCTTTGTAGGTGGTGGTGGCAAAGATCATACTTTCACAGTAAAATATGATTGAGTGTAAATACACATCTTTAATAATAACATAGATAAGAAATTTTTAAATGGATGTAATAAAATGACTGTTTACCCGGTAGTTTGCGCGTAAAACATTTTTTGAAGAAGTTGTAAAATTATATTTTAAGCGAGATTGCGAGGTTACTTTGTTGAAATTTGGAAAAAATACTAATGATGAATATTTGACAAAAGTTTTGGTGATTGATAGTTGAAATTAATGTAATAAGTTTTACAGTAAATTTAAAATATAGAAATACAAATTAGTATACTAAAAAAACAGGAATATATAAATAAATTATTTTCTAACTAAAAGACTATCTTTACTTTCTAAAGATAGATTCTGCTTACAACAAAATTTTAATATTTATTGTTTTGTTAAATTTGATTTTATTTAAAAAGTTTAAAACCTGCACATCGTGCGGGTCCTAATTTAGTGTATATATATATATTAGGTAGTCTAATTCCTCTTCTTCAAAAACAAAACAAAACAAAAAAATTAACACATTTAATTAAGAAATAATTTGGATAGAAACGGCAATAATGAGACCATCCTACCTGTGATCATAATCGAAGCTCGTACGTACAAATGTATGCTATTATTTGTTTGGTATGTATAACAAAGGTTATTCGTTTTGGTCAATAGATGTTTTTAGGAGATTCAAAGGAAACAATGGAAAATTTAAGGAATGTCTTGCCAAAGATGCTAAGGGTATCCTGAGCTTGTATGAAGCTGCTCACATGGGGACGACAACAGATTATATATTGGATGAAGCCTTGAGCTTCGCAACAAGTTACTTGGAGTCTTTAGCAAAAAATAGGACATGCAAACTTAACCTCTCAAGGCGTATACGAAAAGCTTTGGATCAACCGCAGCATAAGAACATGGAAATATTAGTCGCAATGGAATATATCCGGTTCTACGAACAAGAAGAAGATTGCGACAAGAGGCTACTCAAGTTTGCCAAGCTTAATTTCAAATTCCTACAGCTACATTACCTTCAAGAACTCAAAATCCTTTCAAAGTACGTAATCAATCTCTTGAATAATAGTTACTACAATTTTATTATGTCTACCTTTTGAAAGCTTGACATACTTCTAATGTTTGGATGCAAGATGGTACAAGGAACAAGACTTTGAATCTAAGTTGCCACCTTACTTCAGAGACAGATTCATCGAAATTCACCTCGCTACACTAACATCCTTCGAACAAAAATACTCACGTGCGAGGATCTTTTTGACTAAGACTTATACAGTTCAAATAATTATGGATGATACGTGTGACAGATATGCTTCTCTTGGTGAGGTTGAAAGTCTCGCAGATACCATCGAAAGGTAACATACTAACACTATCATACATTATCTAAGTATTTTTAGGTACTATTATTACTTTGTTTTCGATAAATCATGGGAGTTCAGGACTTTCGGCCTATAATCTTATCCAATACTTGAAAGGGTATCTATAAGACATAACCATAATAGAATCATAAATTAGTTCTCTCTCCTCGCCACTATTTGACTTTTACTGTATATGTCATAAAGACAATATAATCCTTCATGTATCTCTCTTTCTCTATCATGCATCTCTTTCTCTTTATTTTCTCTCTTCTGTTTCTACGGCAATCTAAAACCACCTTCAACAAAAAAAATTAAAATGGTTTCAGAAGAAAATTTGTCGAGAGCTAAAGCTGGCCGGAGAAGCAAATTGGTGAGTTCTGTGGTTGACTTGTGACAATGGTGGTTTTAATTCGGCAAAAACAAAAATCAAGGGAGAAGAATAGTTATTGTCGGTGGAAAACGATCATTGTCACATTCGTCATGGTTCAAGCTGTGTTTATAAATGATAATGGTCGATTTGATTTTGTGACAGAGAGAACCGATCGATTATGGTTGTCCTGACTTCGATTCCATGAAGATTGGGACCAAGACACAGTGGTAGTTTCAAATCCCGGTGGTAATTTCGAAATCCGACGGAATTGTGAAATGAATTATTTGTTAGCTGGGTTTTGATGAGATTTATTGAGCAAAAAAGGGGAACTGGTACCATTGGCAGCAACGACCATTGTCTCATTTTTCTGGGTTCGATTTCGTTATATGGGTAACAATTTAATTAGCAACACATACAACAATGCTAACGTATAAGTTAAACGTGATAACTAAATTATCATTATAAATAAGTATGTTAATATAAAAGTTAACGGTTATAATTAATTATTAGAGTAAATAAATAGGTTACTCTATAAGTTAGTTGATACCAATCATATAGTCAATGATTTAACATGATAAATTTAAGCATACGTTGTATAAGTTACATGTTAATATAAATATTATCCATATATCGAATATTTTACCAGATTCGTACAAATATTATTCAGATATGTAATATGTTAGCACGTTATCATTCTATATTAACATATAATTTGTAACTTATCGCGATACTAAATTATTTAGCATGTGTCATCCGCATATTATCGTGTCAATATAAACAGTGTCGTCCGCATATTAACCTTTTTTAATCAGTGGCATTTTTGTAATTAATCCAAAAAAGAAGGATATTTTTGGTTTACATTTTCTTTCTCTTTCCTACTTATCTAATTCTCAAATTACCATGGATTTAAATTTAATTTTATGGTCAATTGTGGTTTTAAATTAATATAGCCCTACTTGAAATCAGCTTTTAGATATATTTGGATTTAAAATATAGCCCTATATACCAAAAGAGGTTTAAATACGAGAAAAAAGGAAACCAATCTTTTTGTACTATCACTAGACCACCATCACTTTCGTATCTATACTAATATTTATGAAGTACATTTGTTATCGGGTGGGTTAAAATTGTTATCCGACAAATTTGGTATCCAGCCCGATAAGAAATTTTCTTCATAAATCTTACACCGGATAGTTCATATCTTTTTGGATTAGATTAAAACATATCCGAAATTATTAACCGGATATTCCATATTTAAAAATATATATATTTACAAGAATTAATTAAGATTTAGAAATACAATTTTCCTATCATCTTTGTTTGAACATTTTTAACTGTTTTGAATCGTCATATAATATATAAAGTTAAAAAAAAATTTCTCTGCATATATTGGGATTCGAAATTCTTAAAATGGATATATATATTACCCAATTGATGAAAAAGATGTGTGCACAACGTCCCATATCGGCTAAAATGTTTAGATATTGATTCAGAATCATATTATAAATAAGATCAAAATGAATCCAAATCCGAATGAACAAGAAGCTCAACTTAATAACATCCAAATTTAAAATTATATACCGTTTTATTCGGTTTTTTAGTTTAACTGCTTAATTTTACCGAAAATGTTAAATTTTAATCTTTTAAAAAGTTTTAAATAATATAATTCATATATTAAAATCAATAAAAATTTTATAAAATTATGAATATTTGAACATATATAAAGAGTTACAATAACACAAGATGGGTTATATTGGTAGACAAGATTATATAACGGGACGAGTTTTTAAGAAGTTTTAAATATTATAATTCATATATTTAAAATCAATAAAAAGTTTATAATATAAGAATATTTGAACATATATAAAGAGTTAAAATAACATGGAACTGTTATATTGCAAGACGGAGTTATATTGTAGGGCAGAATTATATGACGGGACGAGTTTGAATAAAAAAAATTAAAACATCATTAACCCGCTGCTTTAATACGGTTAAATCTTCATTTTATTACTTTTTTAACACCACCAATATTAGACATATCAAATCCTGATTAAAGTATATTATATAAAAGAAAAATTGTCTTGTGGTATACCGTTACTTACTAACAATTGTAAACAATAAAATATAAATGTCTTATAAAACGATACACTTTGTAAAAATTTTTTATATAATATATAACTATTAAATTTTAAAAATCACTAATTTAAAAGCAAATCGTCATGCGGTATACCGAGGGTTAAAATCTAGTTTTTACTTATTATTAGTGTAGCGTTTAAACAACAAAAAAAGATGATGACGCATTTAATTTTTCTTTTTTGTAGAAATGCGATAAAGTTTAGGGAGACTCACAAAAATGCCCCTTTTTCAATACCCCTTTTCAAAAATACCCCCTTTGGCTGTCCATTTTTAAAAATACCCCTTTTTATGTACAAAATGACTAAATTACCCTTCTTTTAATAAAAGATATCACAAATATATAAGGAAATATAACAAAATTAGGTCCACAAAATACAAAATATTTTTTGGCGGGAAAAGTGATCCCGCAATTTTTCCCGCCAAAACACTTGTAAAAACTTGTAAAAAACCTTTAAAATACCTTGTAAAATTTTTCCGTAAAATTTTTTCCCGCCAAAAAATTTTCCCGCCAAAAAATTTTTTTTGCGGGAAAAGTGATTCCGCAATTTTTTTGGCGTTAAATTTTTGGCGGGAAAATTTTTCCCGCCAAAAAATTACAAGGTATTTTAAAGGTTTTTTACAAGGTATTTATAAGGTTTTACAATGTATTTTAAAAGGTTTTACACCGTATTTACAAGGTATTTATAAGATATTATAAGATTTTACAAGCTATTTTATAAGGTTTTTACAAGTTATAAAGTTTTACAAGTTTTTTATAAGGTTTTACAAGTTATAAATACCTTATAAAACCTTATAAGTACCTTGTAAAACCTTTTAAAATACATTGTAAAACCTTACAAAACACTTGTAAATACTCTGTAAAACCTTTAAAATACCTTGTAAATTTTTCCCGCCAAAAAAAAAAATTGCGGAATCACTTTTCCCGCAAAAAAAATTTTTTGGCGGGAAAATTTTTTGGCGGGAAAATTTTTTACGGGAAAATTTTACAAGGTATTTTAAATGTTTTTTACAAGTTTTTTGGCGGGAAAATTGTGGGATCACTTTTCCCGCCAAAAAATATTTTGTATTTTGTGGACCTAATTTTGTTTCAAATAAGGGTAAAATGGTCATTAAATATTAAAAGAGGGCAAACTTAAAAATGGACTCTCAAAGGGGGCATTTTTGAAAAGGGGTATTGAAAAAGGGGCATTTTTAACAATTTCTCTAAAGTTTACTAAGTTTTGAAAATTATATTACTTTTCTTATTTTATGAGAGATATACTACAATTAAAAGCTGTTGACAAAAAAAAGAGAGAGAGATATACTACTTTTTATATTTTTTGTCAGCTACGGTTTTTAAATGCTAAATTTCTAAAATTTCAGTACAAAATTAATACTCACTTATATATAACTAGATTAGGATTTGCCCGATGTGCGGGTTTTAAATTTATTAAATAAAATAAAATTTAACAAAAGTATATATTAAATTTTTATTGTGATAATAGAAATTACATTTAAGAAATAAGAAGATAAATTTTTAAGAGAAATTCCTAAAAATGGCCCTAAAACAAGTTTTATTGACAATAATAGTACACACTCCATAAACTTACAAAAATAGCACTAGTTAACTTACTATTAGTGTTTTTGTTCTAAAAATTTTATCACTAGCTTTTTTTTTTCAATAATACCACAACTTTTATATAAAAGCTATTTAACAAAATAAATTAGAAATAAATTTAAAATATTATATTTGGGTTCTCTATTTCCAATTTAGGGTATATATTTCTACCATTTAAAAGAGATTTTGATTCATTTTAATATTAGTTTATGGTATTATATTTGGGTTCCCTATTTCCAATTTAGGGTATATATTTTCACCATTTAAAAGAGATTTTTTATTTTAATATTAGTTTGTGGTATTATATTTGGGTTCCCTATTTCCAAATTAGGGTATCTATTTCTACTATTTTAAAACAATTTTGATTCAATTTAATATTAGATTAGTGTTTGCTCTTTTTTTATTTTCTATCTTATATTTTCATTAAGTTTAATTGAAGTTTATGGTGCTATTTGTGGAACTTTTCAAATGAGGTGCTATTTTTGGAAAAAACAACTTTTTTGGGGCTATTTGTGTCAATCTCCCAATTTTTAATTAAATAAAAGATTTGTTTATAGATTCAGCTTTTGCCTTATAATAAATATATATATATATATATAAGTGAGTATAACTAAAATTAAACTTTCAACCTTCAAAGATAAACCATAAAACCCTACCCCCTAAAACTATACCTTAAATCTAAAATAATCAACCCCCAAACCTAAAAAATTAAATTTTAAACCCTTGAAAATCAAAATGTTAGTAGCTTAAAATTAGAATTAGTAAATGATTTTTTAATAAGATAAATATAATTTCTTATAATTATCTTTTTTACTTTTTAAAAAATGTTTTATATAAGATATACACATATAGTTGCCTTATAATTTTTTTTCTTAATTTTTATTTTTATTTAATAAGATACATCTAGTTTTCTTATAATTATCTTCTTTAGATTTTTAGAATTGTTTTATATAAGATATATACGTATAATTACCTTATATTTTTTCTAAATAAATAAAAATTTTGTTTTACACGTCTTAAAATCTGAAATCGATAAATTTGACAAGCCCATATAGTTTTTTTGTAATTATTTTAAAAATCAATAAAAATAAATTTTTGTTTAACACGTATCAAAATCTCAGATCGATAGACTTGATACGTGGTACGATCCTATGAGTTACTAACTTTGAAATCCATAATTTATATAATAAGATTGGTTGACCAAAAAAAAAGGAAGTCACTTATAAAATTTAAATTTTACATATACAGATACTTATTATAGATTTTAATAAACTTTTATTAGCAATTTTTAGGTTCGATTTAGTAAATACGTAAGAAATTTTAGTAGAGACATGAATGTCTTGTTTCAAGAAAAGAGAGTTAAAAAATAATACAATGATTAGATCATTTTCTTAAATTTCCTAACATAAATATGGTATTTTACATAAAATCTAAAGAAATTTTTTTTGATGATATTGATAATGTAGGTGGGATCCCGATGATCACGCCATGGATGGACTACCAGATTATTTGAAATCTGTAGTTAAATTTACATTTGATACCTTCCAAGAGTTTGAAAGAGAAGTGGGTTTAGAATTAGGAGGATCTTACAGCTTGAAAGCAACAATTGAGGAGGTAAGCAATAAATGTTTGAACTAGAATAATAACCAATCCCAAATGATTTTTTTACGAACATAGTAAATGTTAACACTTTTGAGCCAATTATTGCAGTGCAAGAGAGTGATGAGAAACAACCTTAAACTCGCCAAATGGGCAAGCACGGGTCACTTGCCTAGCTTTGATGAGTACCTAGATGTTGCTGGAGTCGAGATCGCTATATATTTTACCTTGGCAGGTATTTTGATGGGTATGGAAAATATCTGCAAGAAAGAAGCTTATGAGTGGTTGAAATCTAGAGACAAACTCGTTAGAGCATTAACCGAAAAAACACGATTGTTGAATGATATGCATGGCTTCGAGGTAGAGAAGATTTTCCCATTTTTAGTTAGTTTTTCCATAGTTGTTCTTTGATAATCAAACTTAACACGTGACATGATTAGGATGACATGAGCAGAGGATATGTCACGAACTCGATCAACTGTTATAAGAAGCAATATGGAGTTACGGAAGAAGAGGCTTTTAGAAAGCTTCATCAAATGGTTGCAGACCTTGATAGGATGATGAATGAGGAGTTTTTGAAGCCAATCAATGTGCCACACCATGTTCTAAAGGTACTTATTGTGGACACCTTACGCGCAGTGAATGTTAGCTATGAAAAGGATGATGAATTTACCCGTCCTGGTGATCATCTCAAGAACTGCATCAAGTCAATGTACATTGGTCTTTAAGGACTTTGGTTTATCAAACTTACTTGTGGTTTAGTTTATATCAGGGTACAAAACTCTTATCTCATCTCTTGTGTTTTAAGATACTCGAATCTGTCTTTAGGTGTTTTCAATTGTTGTTCCTCAAGTCGATGTTTATTTTGTGCATTGAAAACTACTGATGCTTCTACAAAACTCGTTCAAATCTACAAGAATATGCATGAGAATTCAAAAGCATTAAGTAGATGCTAGACGGTTTTAACCACCTAAGACATTCATTAGTTATAATTTTATAACTTATAACGCAAAACTTAAAAACACCAACATTAAAAAGTTTCTCAAAACTATCGAGAAAATTCGACGATTGTACAGATTTTCAGAAGTAAAACCAATGTCTTGACGCATTAAAAGTAAACCAAAAAAAGAACTTAAATATCTGAGATCACTCACAACAGATTCTCTGCGTCTCAATTCATATCTTAGGCTTCAGTGATGGGAAACTCAAAGATGACATCTTTGCCAGTGAGCTTCTTGTAAACAGCAGAGAAAGCCTCAACCTTGTACTCTGTGTTGTTCCTTTCCTTTGGGTCCAAGAAGACCTTCAAACACACAAATTCCGTTAATCAGATCGACAGAAATAACATCTTCCTGGATGGTAATGATCTTCAGATTTTACTTACCTTCATGATTTTGGTGCCGTCGAGTCTGTACCTTGTGCGCTTCCCAACAATCTCTGCAGGTAAGACCACATCATCAAGAATAGCTTCATGGACTGAGGTAAGAGTACGGTTGCGTGGTCTCTTTGCAGCTGAACCCTTCTTAGGTGGCCTCACAATCCTCCTTGTAGCAATGAGGATCACATCCTAAGCACAGGGAAGATAACATCAAGAAGCTAACCAGTTACGCAGTGACTCTAAAACCAGTAATTGAAACATAGAAAGCTTCTTTTCTGAATAAAACCAAAGAGAACATAACTCCATACTTAAGACAACTAAAGTGGCATCAATCATTCAATCAAACAAATGCAAATCGAGTATCTTAACAGATCACTCATAAGAACAAGAGAAGGTGAAAAAATCACCTTTCCACTGAACTTCTTCTCAAGTTCACGAACAAGCCTAACATGGATTTTCCGGTAAGCTTTTCTCAATCTGTAAGGAACATTGATAACAATTGCCTTGCGTCCTCCAGAGATATCAACTTGACTACAAAAAGAAAAGAGATTAAATTTTCTCAGTTGTTTTCTTTCTCCTAGGGGTAACAACAACACAATGTAGACAAAAAAAAAATCTAAATCATAAACAAAATAGTTCACTCACACAGCCGAGTTGACGTACAAATCCTTCAACTCACTTTTCAATTCTTGATTGGTGTTCTCCAAATCAAAGAAAGCCTAACAAACCAAACAGAGAAATCAGAAAGTCTAAAACTTTAACCAATTCTAAGTAAAACCTAAATCAAAAGATCAAACCTGAGCAACTTGCTCATCCAATTCAGAAAGTTCCACACCCTTTTCCTTGTGAATCTTATGCTGAAACGAAAACATCTTTTCACTCAAATGCAACCTCCAAAACCTTGATCAGAGCACTGTCGATCAAAATCATTTCAATAATCAACAAAAAATGACACTTAAATCTCAACATAGACAAAACTCTTAGTAAATCATCTAGCATTGATCACAAACAAGACAACACCAGAAGCTAAAAGGTATACAAGAACGGAACTTTATTGCAAAATTCATCATATATGTTCTATATCACCGATCAATGCAAAAAATCGAGAACAAACAAAGAACCCATCTCTGAAATTAAGATCCAAGAGAATATAACAGAAGAGAACGAATCGAACCTGAGGAAGACAACGGGATACTGAAGCTAATCCGCTGAAAAAAACCCTAGAGCTCGAGGAGGAGGAGGAGGATAAAGAGACTTTATAAAGGATGATCTAACGGTCACCAAGTGTTAACGTGACACGTGTAGGGATAGGATTATAAGTAAGTGAAAGCCGATTGATCAAATCTGAGCCGTTCAATGTAGCTGACGTGGCGTAAACATAACAAAGCCACGTTTTGCTCACGTGTTACTGATCGTATCTTATCATTTTTCCTCGAATAGACAAAACAAAGCCGACACCGGAGAGATCTTTATTCACTTTCTCCGCTTCTCTTGTTTTGTCACTTTTCGATAAACCCCAATTCACGGCAGAATCTTGATAATTTGAGAAAACGAAGCGTTGATGGTGTTGTAGGAGAACAATTCATAGTTGTGAAGTTAGTTGCTTTCAAGGTGGGTTAGTTGAGAAAACATTGACTTCCTCTGTAATTTTGGAATCTGACCAGAAAAATGTTCACCAATTAGTCAGACGAGCTGAGTAATCTCTGTGTTGAAACTTTAAATAAAGTTTAGATTTTGATGAATGATAGTCTCTGTAGTTTGAGTTTAGAGAGTCAAATTTTGTGATAAAATTAGTGGTTTTGCCTAAATATTTGAATGATTTTTACCAGGTGAAGAAATCTAAGTATGTCGAGCAGAACTCGGGATGTTTTAGAAGGTCTGGTTAAAGATAGTTCACTTAAATGGTTGCTTGGGAAGCAAAGTTCTTTCGATGAAGAAATCAAAGAGATTGAGAATTCTCCATCTGCTGGTGTCAATTGGATACCTGAGCTTTCTCCAGTAGCAAATGTTGTCATTCGCAGGTGTTCAAAGTAAGCATCTTTAGTTACCTTTTACTACATACAATTGAATTGGTTATAAATGGTTTGGTCCTGTAATGAAAAAATGTTGATATTTTGATCTGGATTCAAATGGGAAACATTTGGTGCAGAATACTTGGTGTTTCAGTAAGTGAGCTACAAGATAGTTTCAAACAAGAGGCGTCTGAATCGGTTAAGCAGCCTTCAATGTTTCCAAGAAACTTTCTAGAGTACTGCTGTTTCAGGGCACTTGCACTTTCTGTTGGAGTAACAGGTCATCTCAGCGATAAAAACTTTCGACGTCTAACTTTTGATATGATGGTTGCTTGGGAGGTTCCTTCTGCTGCTAGCCAGACATTACTCAGTGTAAGTAAGGACTTTTGATTTTCTGTGTCTGTGGTTTATTGAGTCAAGACTTGATCCTCTTATTTTCAAACATGGAAGCAGGTTGATGAAGATCCAACCGTTGGTTTAGAAGCCTTCTCACGGATTGCTCCAGCAGTTCCGATTATAGCTGATGTGATCATTTGTGAGAATTTGTTTGGGATGCTGAGTTCTGCCTCAAACAGTGTTCGGCTTCAGTTCTATGTTTATGACAAGTATTTGTATGGACTTGAAAGGTAAATAAAAGCTTTCATCCTTAGAAACATTCTTCAGGAAAAAAACTCTGTGAAATCTGAATCCGGGATCACTTTCTAGAGCAATAAAGAAGATGAAGAGCCAGTCCGAGTCATCGTTGCTTTCTGGTGTTCGATCAAAAGGAGAAAAGATTCTTGAGGTCGACGGGACAGTTACTACCCAACCAGTTCTTGAACATATTGGAATCTCTACATGGCCAGGTATGCTTTTCTCTGCACTAACAAGAAGTTGAAATTTTGTAAATTCCTCTCTATTCGGTTGATTGAATTGAGTATTGTTAAATGTAGGTCGCTTGATTCTGACTGATCATTCACTCTATTTTGAGGCTATAAAGGTTGTGTCTTTCGATACACCAAAGCGTTATAGCCTCTCTGAAGATCTGAAACAAGTCATTAAACCTGAGTTAACCGGTCCTTGGGGCACTCGGCTGTTCGATAAGGCTGTTTCTTACAAGTCTATTTCCCTGTAAGGAATGTTGTTATTATGTCAATTAAAAAGATTTGTTATGTATTCACTTCTTATCTGACTGATTCGGTTACATATTTTAATGTCTCTCGTTTTGTAGACCAGAACCAGTAGTAATGGAGTTCCCCGAGCTCAAGGGCCACACAAGACGAGATTACTGGCTCGCGATAATCCTAGAAGTGTTATATGTTCACAGATACATAAAGAAGTTCAAGATCAACACTGATGTGGCGAAAGATGAAGCTATCTCAAAAGCTGTACTCGGCATTTTACGCGTGCAAGCCATTCAAGAACTCGGTTTAACAAACCCTGTGCGTTACGAGAATCTTCTCCCGTTCAATCTCTGCGATCAACTTCCTGGTGGAGATCGTATTCTGGAGACGCTTGCAGAGATGTCTACTTCTAGAGTGCTTGACCGGACAAACAAAGAAGGTAACATTAATTTCATATTATGCAAATTGTATTAACAGAACTCTATGTTGATAAGTTTCTTTTAACAGGGACATTGCACTCGATCTCGGCCTCGGATATGGTTTCGCAATTGGGTTTGGTGTTTGGAGCAACAAGTCCAAAGAGTAGAAGTAGTCTTGTGGTAGGTGAGGTGATGGTTGGAGATGTGAATCCATTGGAGAAAGCGGTTAAGCAATCAAGAAAGAACTACGAGAAAGTGGTTCTTGCACAAGAGACGGTTAATGGAGTTAAAGTTGATGGAATTGACACCAATGTAGCAGTGATGAAGGTAAAAGAAAAAAACACAACACTTCTAGCATTTCATGCAATAGATTTTATAGACTCTGGTTTTTGCAGGAACTGCTACTTCCGGTTATAGAAATCGGGAATTGGCTTTTGTCGTTAGCTTATTGGGAGGATCCATTGAAGTCTTTTGTTTTCTGTCTTTTCTCAACTTTCATAATTTACAGGTAACATACTCTTATACAATTCTCTGACATCTTTTGTTTTTTTTCTGTGGTTTAATCGGTTTTTTGTTTAGGGGGTGGATTGGCTATGTTTTTGCGATTGCGTCTCTCTTTATAGCGGGTTTCATGGTTCTCACGAGATATTTCAGCAACAGAGAGAAAGTAATGATCGAGCTGAAAGTTATAGCGCCGCCTCCTATGAACACAATGGAACAGCTTTTAGCAGTCCAAAACGCGATTTCACAGCTCGAACAGTTAATCCAAGACGCAAACATTGTTCTCCTCAAGTTCCGAGCTTTACTACTCTCTCTTTTCCCACAGGTCTCTCTCTCTCTCTCTCTCTCTCTCTCTCTCAACTCTTCCTCTCATTTTAGCGTTCGCCAAAACGTGGTTTTTTTTTGCAAACGGTTTAATGTTAATTGAAGTTTGAAAATGACAGGCGAGTGAGAAGTTTGCGGTTGCCATTGTGATCGCTGCGTCGATGATGGCATTAGTGCCTTGGAACAATCTGATTCTGGTGGTGTTTCTTGAGCTGTTCACAAGATACTCGCCACCGCGTAGAGCAAGCACGGAACGGTTGATGCGGCGGCTTAAAGAGTGGTGGTTCAGCATTCCGGCTGCTCCGGTTGTTCTTGAACAGAGCAAAGACGATAACAAGAAAACCAAGTAAAACATTTCAAAAATGATGTCGGTTTTTGTCCCACGAGAGTTCATCAGGGAAACTGTGTAATGTTGTAACTAATTACGTATATCTGTGCATTTACATGTATGTTGTACAAAAGTTTTTGAATTATTACTATAGAATAAAGTCTATTAACCGAAATGGAAATGGCATACCAAAAAAATTTATATAGAAATAGTTTATGTTCCGTGGTAAAATCACATTTAGCTGAATATTGCAGAAGTAGCAAAATCCTCTTACAAAAAATAATGTTCTGTTTTCTGGTGGGCACAAAATTAACATTTTTTATTCATAATAATCACACAACAAAAGCGAAGCCTCACTCTCTCGGACTCTATAGAGTTTTGCTTACAAAGCAGTAGCATTTTGCGGCTGCTCTATCTGGAGAGGTTCCTGCAACTCTGGGTTTATTGGAAACAAATGGCATTGTGCGTATTGCGCCATCAATTGATCCACAAGAACTAAAGCCACCATTGCTTCCACCATTGGTACAGCTGCAAACAAACACAGTCAAAATCCCTGAGTAGTATAGTGAATTAATTCAATGGTTTGGATTGGATTGTATATAATCACCTCGTGGAACAACACAAGGATCATGACGGCCACGCGCAATCATTTCGGTTTCTACCTTGTCTCTGGTTACAGTATTCTGCTTCCTCTGCGCGTTGGAAAGAAAACATTAATGATCTCAAGCTGACATTTGTTATGTTTACATGGAAACTGCATGAGTTTTATCATAAACTTACTCCAATTGTTGATGTTGGCTTGAAGGCTACTCTCATGTTTATTATTTCACCATTTGAGATCCCTCCCTATGAAAATTGACCAATATTAGGAATTCTCTCAAGAGAAAAGTAGTTTATTGACATATTAAATACAAGACTTAACCAACCTGAATTCCACCGGATCGGTTTGTTCTGGTACGTATTCTTCCATTTTCATCGGTATAGAACTCATCATTGTGTTCAAGGCCAGTTAAAAAGGTACCTGCGGGTTCATCGCGTATGGTTTATACTGCTCCAGAGGGGGTGTTTTAGATTGGTCAAAGAAGAGCAAAATAATGTATAACTTTCTATACCTGCAAAGCCACTTCCAAACTCAAATCCCTTTGTTGCAGGTAACGACATACAAGCTTTTGCCAGTTCTGCTTCAAGTTTATCAAAAACCGGTGTACCAAGCCCCTGCGTATAGTAATTTCAATAGTCATTCACTGGAGTTCATGCAATCAGACTACAGGAGGACGCACAGATTAAGCTCATGGTACAGTGAGTTCATACACGTGGAGCATTCCGAACAATGCAGGTCACAACACCACCAACAGAGTTCCCTTTTGTCCTGACAGCATCAATCGCAGCAATCATCTTTTCCGCATACTCAGGATTAGGGCATCTGACAATGTTATTTTCTATCTGGAAGATGAACAAAATGAGGTAAGAATGTTACCAGAAGAACCTTAATAAAAAGAAATGCTATTAGGAAAATGGTTATAATGGTGGATGAAAGTCACAGAAAATTGACAGCAAGAATCAGGTCACCAAAATGGGTTTTTTCTCGGTTACAGTATGAAAACTACTCACAAAACAACATGTAAATTATACTTTGAAAAAAGATTTGCACCTGTTCAAGTGTTAAATTCTCGTGGTCTACCAATTCTTCTGGAAGTACAACGTGGTGAACTTGAGAGACATAGGCAAGAATCTGGAGACACAAAAGAAAAACAGAGACAAAATAAGCAAGTCCAGAAGCAAACTTGAAACAGTTGCGTGAATCTTTAGAATTGGGTTACTGAGTTAATAAGGGGCATACTATTTGCAACGATATACTAAGATAGAAAAAATAGAGAGATGAAAGAAGAACCAAACATGAGAAAGGATATAAAAAGTTCAATGTAAATTGATTATTTGAGAGCAGTGCCATTTGCAAATATCAGAAAGTAAACACACCTCAGTTCCAGCAAATTGCTTCAAAATTTTCTTGGCCAAAGCTCCAGGAGCAACTCTTCCAATGGTTTCTCTAGCTGAAGATCTTCCTCCACCCTTGAAAAGAATAACGCTTAAGGTAAGTTAAGCAGAAAAATGCCTTTGAACTACATAAAACCTAACCAAGAAAAGTAGCATATAAATAAGTTAAACAAAAGATACCTGCACTGATCTGACACCATACTTCATGTCATAAGTTGCATCAGCATGCGATGGTCTATAGGCAACAGACATTTCACTGTAATCCTGAAAATCCAGAGAGTCTCTCAAAGGTTAGAGTCTACAGAAAAACCTTCAAGCTTTTCTATTCGATTCTGCTTTTTCTAATGCCAAAAGAAAAAAATCTATTTAACAATATCGAAACATCAAAACGCATAGAGATGTCAAAAAACTTACAAGTCCCCTCTGATCTGTGTTTGGCACAAAGACATGGATAGGTGTTCCTGTCGTCATACCTGAATTTTATGGATATCAACAATTAGAACAACGGTTGAGAAACTAGATCAAAATTCAAACTATGAAAAAAGAATTAAAGCTAGACCTTCGGAGACTCCAGAAGATATCCGGCAAGTATCAGTCTCTTTTCTAGGAGTTGTGATCCTGCTCTGACCAGGTCTCCTAAATAAAGCAAACCAACATGTAAGAAAACCCATCAAGGGATCATATTATATAATAATAGCTTTCTTCTTCCTCGAAATACCTTCTATCAAGATCGAATTGCAAATCAGATTCAGTAAGTGGAATCCGAGGAGGACAACCATCAATAATACAACCAACTCCTCCTCCATGTGATTCTCCAAAAGTTGAAACTCGAAAATGAGTCCCATAAGAACTTCCAGTAGCTTGTATCTCTGCCAAATTAAAAAACCCAAATTCCAAAACTCTTAAAGCTTTAAACTTTCAATCTCTCCGATTTTGTTCTAATGGAAATGTGAATCAATTCAATCAACCAAAACTGCCTAAAGATTCAAATTACACATCTTTCTTCTTTATGCTAGATACAGGCAAAGGCTTCAAATTTTTAGAAATAATAATCGGAGAGAGAACTCACGTAAGTTCTTCCTGGTTTGGGTACGGAGAGAGATCTGAACGGCGGGAGAGGAAAGACGACGGAGCTCGGACGGAAGAGAAGAAGAACCGGGTTTGGTGGATCCGAGAATGGATTTGGAAGTAAGAGAAGAAGCCATGATCAGGATTCAAAGGCAAAAGAACGAGGATTGAGAAAGGTTTAAAGGAGAGAAATTGGAGTTGGTGGCAATTTTGGGGGGTTGGTGAGTTAGGACATATATAAGGGCCTAATTGGTAATGTCTTTTGTGGTCTTCTTCTTCGTTGTGCAAAATGGAGGAGACGCAAATTGCAAAATCCTTCACCTACCAACACTAAACAAACCAGTCGACGAGGACCAAACCAAAATTCTTCAACCGGAACAGTGTAGCTGTTTTTTTGTTTATCTCCGGTTTTGGTTCGAACCAGATTGACCTTACCAATCCGGGTAGATCGATTCGATCTGATTTGAACCGAGATACTCAATCCAAAAAATTAATATAGTTTGAATAGATTCATTTTATTTATATCTGGGAAACTTAATTCAAATCCAAATTTAAAAACCAACTAAAATCGAATTTTTTGTGAATTAAAGATTTATTTGACTAAAATCTGAATCCAAATTGAAAATGATATCATGCCAAACTTTACTTTGTAGATTAGGTTTTAGTTTGGCTACTTATATTTATAAATCAAAAATTTGAGAAACAAAAAAAATTTATCAAAACCGAATCCAAACTGCAACCGGAACAAAATGAATTTAAATGCCGGTAGATTATGTTTTATTTTCTTCTTTAAATTCATTTTGTTCCGGTTTCAGTTTGGATTCGGTTTAGATAAAAAATTTTGTTAAATCTACCGGCATGTCTTTCTTAAACTTTGGAACAAATGGTGACCTCGAAAAATGCACAACCGAAATAAAACTGACAAATTGAAGAACAAATAGAGGACATGGACATGAACTCCATTAACATCAATAGTTTCTCTTCAGCATCTGTGAATTTGGTGTAGAAAGCTGAAGTCTTTAAATGACGAGAGTTTCTGTTCTGCTCTTTCTTAAAACCAAAACGTTGGATTTCATGGTACCTGTTTGGAGTGGATTATTGTTTTTTTTTTTTTTTGAACAACTGGAGTGGATTATTGTTAAGTTTTGAATATCGAGACTAGCACATCACTAGCACAGCTCTCGAGTCTATCATGTGAGAGTCACACAAGATTCAACAACAATCAACATAAACCCTCTCTAAACATTTAGAGCCAGTATTTATACTAGAACAGAGTTTGTTAAAGATATTTTTAGATCCTAAAATATTTTCTTCTTCAAGCAAGCTTCCTTCTCACGTGTCTTCTTTTGCTTCGTCTCCCATTCACATTCTTCTTGTTACACCAATCGTATCAATTATAATTACAGAGAAGCTGAACCAACACCCTGAAAAACAGAGTAAAATGATAGACCAAAGCCGATTCAATGATTGCATCTCAAATCTCACTCAGTTCAGGTACACGCAAATAAACACTCTTGGTTGCTAATAATGTTACAGAGACAAGAAAAATGGAAACAGATAAGTTAGGATCAGAAGAAAAAACAGTGGAGATTTTAGAGTTTTTTGTTTAGTGCTTTGTGATTCTTTCAAGGACTTGGAAGTAGTCGGGGAAGGTTTTCCTGGTGCAACCGGGATCATTGATGGTGATTGGAACATCAGCACAAGCTGCAAGAGAGAATGCCATTGCCATTCTATGATCATCATATGTATCAATCTCTGCCGGTTTCACCTTTTTGGGCGGAGTTATCACACAATAATCTGAACCTTCTTCCACTGTAGCTCCCAGCTGAACACAAAAACCGCAAAGTTTATGAGCAAATTACTTAGAACGAGCACTGTAAACAGAAAGAGAGAGAGAGAAGGAGAAGAATTTTACTTTTCTAAGCTCTGTGCAAATGGCAATCATCCTTTCTGTCTCCTTTACTCTCCAGCTAGCCACTATATTGACCAAATAGAATTAAGTGACCATGAATCTTGAGAAACCTTAAATTATAAGAGAGAGCTTTTTACTTACCATCTCTAATGGTGGTTGGACCGTCAGCAAAGAGAGCAACGACGGCAAGAGTCATTGCTACATCAGGCATTTTGTTCATGTTGACATCAATAGCCCGCAAGTGTCTCATTCCAAAAGCATCTCTAGATGGTCCTGTCACAGTCACACTGTTCTCTGTCCAGGACACTTTACATCCCATTTTCTCAAGAACCTCAGCAAATTTCACATCTCCCTAGAGATTCATCACAAAAATTGAACTTAGATTCTTGCGAATATGTTACATACAACTTGTCAAAGACTCAAAGCCTTAAAAAGATGAAACTTTGACCTAAACGAATTTCACTATAAACTTAACAGCCTCTTTGATGATTCAGTATACAAATATTACCTGCAAGCTGGTCGTTCCACAACCTTCAACAGTGACAGTCTCACCGGTAATGGCAGCACCAGCCAAGAAATAACTAGCACTAGAAGCATCACCTTCTACATACGCATTACCCGGAGACCTGAATCATTTCACCATTTTAGTCATTATATTGTCAATCTAAGGTATGTGATTTCAGAAAAGGAAGAAAAGAATCACTCTTACTTGTATTTTTGCCCGCCCTTGACAAAGAAACGATCCCAGCTATCACTATGCTCGGCACTAACCCCGAAACGTTCCATCAACTTCAATGTCATTTCAACATACGGAACAGAAATCAATTTATCGACTATCTCAATCTCGACGTCTCCAAGAGCTAAGGGAGCAGCCATGAGCAGAGCAGTCAAGTACTGACTACTAATTGATCCAGAAAGCTTCACCTGCAAATGCAAAACATGTCCGATGTGTCAATCAAGAAACCATACAAGGAAAAAGGTAATCGAGAAAGAAAAGTAATTCCTAACTGAGAAAAAAACAAATCTCACTACCAAAATGGAATCTTGTCAAGCTAAGGCTATGATGAACACACATTTCTGCAAGTGTTAATAAAGTAAGTGTCGGGATTACAAATCACACATGCCATTCGCAAGATCTCACCTTTCCACCGGGAAGGCCACCATTAGCGTTGACACGAACAGGAGGGCAGTTAGTTCCAAGAGTACATTCAACATCAGCACCAAGCTGCTTAAGACCAACAACCAAATCCCCTATAGGTCTTTCTCTCATCCGAGGCACCCCATCAAGCACATAACTGGAATAAACCAATCAAAACAAAAATCAACACAAACTCCATTTTCGAAACATCAAAAACTAAGAAGCATCAACTCCTTTAATCTACCTGGCGTTGCCACCTGCAGCAGTAACTGCAGCTGTAAGTGGACGCATCGCGGTTCCTGCATTTCCGAGGTAAAGTTCGATATCACACTTGGAATCTATAGAAGCTGGGAATATCCCGCCACATCCTTCAACTACTGCACGATTGTTTTCACTGTCAGTTTCCACATTAAGCCCCAATTTCTTCAACGCATCAAGCATGTAATTGATGTCATCACTGTTCAACAAGTTGTCCACTAGAGTAGTTCCCTACAGTAGTTCCAGAAAAGAATGCAGATTTGTAAACAGTAACGCTAAAACAACGAAATCGAGTATGACATACCTCAGATAGAGCAGCGAGAAGCAGAATCCGATTAGAGAGAGACTTGGAGCCAGGAAGCTTAATCAGACCCGAGATTTCTCTAATGGGTTGAAGCACAATCTCCGACGCTTTCTCCGCCGTGGAAACAGAAGCCATAACCTTCACAGGACGAATCTCAGAACCATTTAGCATCATACCACTCTTCTTCTCAGAACTTCCAGTAGCTTGTATCTCTGCCAATTTTAAGAACCCAAATTCCAAAACTCTTAAAGCTTTAAACTTTCAATCTCCCCAATTTATTCTGATGGAAATGTGAATCAATTCAATCAAAAATACTCAGAGAGAGAACTCACGAAAGTTCTTCCTGGTTTGGGTACGGATAGAGATCTGAACGGCGGGAGAGGAGAGACGACGGAGCTCCGAGGGAAGAGAAGAGGAACTGGGTTTGGTGGATCCGAGAATGGATTTGGAAGTAAGAGAAGACGACATGATCAGGATTCCAAGGCAAAAGAAAGAGGATTGAGAAAGGTTTAAAGGAGAGAAATTGGAGTTGGTGGCAAATGGCTTTTGTGGTCTTCTTCTTCGTTGTGCAAAATGGAGGCACAGATTGCAAATTACAAACTTATAAACTCAACCGGAACTTAATCTAATGAAACCAAAGTTTTGGTTATCTCCGGTTTTGGTTTAAGTTTCAAGTCAACAACATCTCCGAAATCCTAATTGCAAAGTCAACAACTTTTTTTCAGTATTTATATGTACGTAGCCATAACAATTTTTAAAACGTTTAGACTTTGGTGGGTTTAAATTTAAATATGTAGATTGATAGTTGAAAATTTATGGTTTTATCCTTATTTGTGTTTAATTTTCATATCATTTGTGTTTTATATTATGTTTCTAACGGTTAATATAAATAATATAAATTTTAACAAACAAAACGATAAAAATAAAAATCTTCAAGTAGCAAATATGTCAACAAATATTTGTTAATATTCAAATATCTCATTATACATATTTCAATGAAATATATTTTAAATAAAAACACTTGCACATTGAAAATAGCAAAAAATAATAGTTTTTGAATCTTCTTAATAATTTTTAAAAAAGTTTATATATATATATATATATATATATATATAATATTAGTTTTTTTTCAGTTTGGTTTGAGTTATAATTGCTTTCCTAGTATAGAAAGGGCTATATTAATTGATATGCATAGAAGACTTGAAAATTAAAAATCTATCCATGATAACTTAAAAATTAAGTAACTATGAAAGAGAAAGAAAAAGCAAATCAAAAATCTCCTTATACTTTTGATTAATAACAAAAATGCCATTGATTAAAGAAAATAGTTTTCTACTTCAATATATTCACGATACTGTTCATTCCGACGTCTAAGATACTGTTCATCACCGGATAATGTTCATCAACCACATAACAACATTGCTCATATGTGTGGATAACTATTTTATTTGTATTGATAACTATTTTATTTACATGTTAAATGGTATATTATCGTGATAAGTTTATATAATATGTGTTATATTCATAGTTATCGTGTTAAACGAGTTATCTTATCATACAAAGTTAAATATAAAGTATTAATTTTAGAATTGTGAATTAATATTCTTTGAAAAAAATCTTAATTAATTACATGATATACATATTATAAACATATCACATATAATGATAGCGATAACAATATTGCTAACGCACTACACATACTTGTAACGGATTAAGATATTAAATATATCTAATAATATTAATATTAATCTGTTAATATATTAAATAGTATTACATATTGAAAATTAGGATGGTGACGAGATACCTAACAAATCATTATGTATTAATTTGCATGATTGTTTATTTATTTAACACAGGTAAATTAAATTGTATGTCGATAAATTAACATTTAGCACAATACAAAAATTATAAACATGTTATATAAAATATTAATGAGATACAAACCTTGCCAAACTTTTCCAATCATCAAATTTCAGAGACACCTTTCACCATATTTCCCGATCTACTCTTCTAATCTTGCCAAACTTTCTCAATCATCAATTTTTTCCAAAGATGATCACTGACAGTTCGCCGGTTCCTAAGCTTTCAAAGTCACCTTTCATTTTTCTATCGTTACTTGAACGACACCACAATTGAACCGAAAACGAAACCATAGACTCCGCCGGAATCGAAAACCGCTCCACCTTGGCTTTGCCTTTCACGGAATCAAAAACCCACTTTGTTTTAACTTTGTTATGACAAGTTTATGTGATGAACTCTTGGCCGGAATTTCACCGGAAATGGTTGACGAAGAAGAGAGAGGGAGAGGAAGATGAGAGATTAAAAAAAAGAAAAACAAATAAATAAAGAAGGATAGTAGAGTAATATTCTTAGATTTATTACTGTAGAAATAGTACCTATTTTACTCACCTAATTATACACTCGTCTGAGCATAGTTTGTGATATTTCCCTAGAAATAATGAATCCATTTAAACTATGTTAAAATATAGTTTATTTGGAATCGGTTATTTCGATTTAATTCGGATAAACTCGAATTTGTTTTTTCCAGTTTGAACCCTTTTACATTTTCTTAATTAGTAGATAATGAATTAAACAAGTTGAAGAGAAAATGATAAAATCCAAAATTGTTCTAATTGGAAGAAGTTATTAGTTGAGTTTAATGTTTAAAATTGAAAGAAACTAGTAAATTGGCAGCATAATTTTATCTGACTAATAAAATTGGCATCGAGGCTTGATACTAAGGCTCCGAATGGTAACTGCGTTTTGCGGTGCGGGAAAAGTGCGGTATTACATTGCGGTACGGTTCAACTGCGGGACGTGCGGGAGAAATATATTTGCGGGACAAGTGCGGTTTGTATAAAATAAGCGGTACGAAATAAAATTTGATTGGTGAAAAAGCTATTTGCGGGACAAGTGCGGTTTTATATATATATATATATATATATATATATATATATATTAATAATTAATTTTTTTGTTAATAACATAAATTTATAAATCATTAGTAATACACAAATTGATCAAAATATAAATTTAATTTTTTGTTTTAAAATTTAAACCATATATTATAAATCAATATGTTAATATCACAGTATGAAATATAGTAGATCATTTAGTAAGTATACTATTTACACTAAAATTATTTAACAAAAAAAATAATTTAAATATTTATTATATAATTAATATGAAATCATTTAACCATATTTTTAATAAAAATGACTATAGTTTCTTTATATTTCTATAAATCTGTTTTTTCCGTAATAAAACTGATTATTTTATAGTTTATGAAAAATAGTGAAGTAAGTTAAAAAAAAATTCAAAAAAAGACATGTTTAAAAAATTATGCATTATTAAGAGTTTTTTTTGTTAAAAGCTTAAAATATGTGGTGGTTATTAACTCCCATTTATTCTGAAAAAAAAAATTAACTCCCATTTACTAATTATTCTATAAATTAATAAGCTTTCCCATTATGCTCTCTGTATCAAACTTACACGTGACCACCATTTTGGTTATTTTGCTTTTTGTACTACCTATTTACAAATTAGTGACTGTTTCAGTTGTTAAAAAAAATAAAAATAAATAAAGAGATTAATATTTCGTTTTATCTACTGCGGAATTTGTAAAACCACTGGGTAATTGGTTGTTGGACAACACTACTGCGGTCCAAGTGTTAAAACCTTGTTTTGAAAACCGTGAACAGATTTTTCTTTCTTTTTAAAAAACCACAGATTACCTAAAAAGATAACTGATTGGTGACAAAAGACGTTTTTCAAAAACCACACTTGAATTCCGCACCTCTCCTTGTCACCATTCAGGGCCTAAGAAAATCTACATATATTTAGATAACAAAACAAAAAAAAAAATCTCTTATTTTCATTTTTATCTCCTATTTAAAACAAAAATAAATATCAACCTCTACAATCTACGTGGCAGTCCATAGTTATGGAATGTCCTAATCATCCCATCCAAGCTCGCCGTCACGATCACCAGTCTCCACGCCTCGCCGAACGGGAGGGTATTATCGTAAATTCCTACATCAGAACTACTCATCAGGAGCTTCTCCACCGGCCACGTGGCGGTAACACGGCAGGAACGAGACAATTTCCCGGAGCTCTGTATTTGTCTCAGAACTCGCCGTGATTCTTCATCATCTTCGGCCGTTTTCGATATTTTTGCTCCCGGTGGAGTCCAAGCCGCCGCCGCGGAAACACCCGGCGAATGAAAATACTCGAAAGAACGCGACGATTTCGCGCCTTTCCTCGACGGAAAACCATCGTTGTTCCAGAGATAAACTCCGAGACCTCGTCGGACTGATAAAATATGTTTTCCGGTGGAAGAAACAAACGACGCCGACGATTGTTTCCCATATTTCGATGGAGCTGAAATATCAAAATTTCAAAAAAATCAAAACACGATTTCAAGAATTGTAAAAACACGATTCAATGATTCAAAGTTTCTACCTTTAAATTTGTGAAAGATTTGAGTTTTATCAAATATTCGAACTTTCGAATCATCGGAAGATACCATAAGTTTCTCCGAGCTTCCAGGACAAAACTCCACGGCGGTGATGTTGTTCCGTCCCCGGATAAGAATTTGTTCATCCATTATCACATCGTTACCTGAGATTTGATAGAACCTACAGTTCCCAGTGATGCAACCAACGACAAACCCCTGAAGCAAAAACAGAGCAAAGTTAAGGTTTTTAGAAACCGTAATGATGATCTTTTTGAGTAAAGAAGAGACAGAGAATGTCAAATTACATTTCCGTTTGGTTGGTAACAGATTGCAGAAATGGAATCACGTACATCGGTCCATGCGACGACTCTCTCTTCCGATAAACCCCAGATTCGAGCTTTTCCGTCTATAGATCCACTTATGAAGTTGTTCTTATTTACAGGATTGAATTCAACGCAAGTCACTGTATTTGAAAGACAACAATAAGAAAACGTTTTACCAAGATTTCAAGACCAAATCTGTTAAGAGATCAAAATAAGTTACCGTAGTTGTTATGGTGAAAGATATGAAGACATTGATCACTACCAATTCTCCATAACCGAACTGTCTTGTCTTTAGAAGCTGAAAGAAGCAACTGCAAACCAAAACACCAAAGACAGATTCATAAGCAATGGATCAAAAAATCCAAAACTCAAGAAAAAACCAAAATAAAACTCACATTTGAGTCTGACCATGCTAAGTCCAAAACATCTCCGGTGTGACCATAAAGTTCTTGAAACGGTGTTTCTTCGATATGAAAAGCTTTCTGAGGAAAGAGAACCAATGCTTCTTGTTGGCTTATTGGTTCTTGTTGTCGCATAAAAGAGGCGAGTAGAGAATCCGATAGCGTGATTCGCCATATCTTTACAACTCCATCTTCGCCTCCGGTTGCTAAGTATTTACCATCAGGACTAAACTTCAATACCCAAATTTTCCCTATGTGTCCATTAATCTTTTGTACCATGTAAGCTGCAGATAACTCTACATGACTCTTCTTGTTAGTCTTCACTTTCACTCTGCTCATCGTCGCTTCACTTGATTTGTATTTGAAATCTTTATCCTTCACTCCTACAAAGCAATTGAACAACCATTTCTTCGCGCTTTTCTTGCTGAAACTCCGCGATGGACTCGTAGAAGCGTTGCTTGAGATTTCTTCTAAATCATCATCATCATCATCCTCTCCTTCTAGTTCCTCATCAGACATTGAAGTAGTTGATCCATAATTCTCCTCTCTAACACAACATTGCAATTCACGATCACAGAGAGATGAATCTGAAGAAGAACTAGTAGTAACCTCATCGCTATAATCGCTTATCATCCTCTCCAAACACATCTCTTCTAATAAACCCATTTTCTTGAGAAACCGTACACGACGTTCCTCAACACTAACTGGCTCACCTGACCAAACTTGAAACTCTGCTTCTTCTTCTTCTTTTACTTGTTCACCAATAGACAAAACATCAGATGAATCAAAGAACACATCATCAACAACTTCACTTCTTTCAACACTCATCATTTCAATCACAACTTCAACAAAAACTAAAAAGCTTGTTCCTTTTTTTTATATAAACCTTCTTCTTGTAGCCTCAACGCGGTTCACGGACCGTAAATCCCTCAAATGTTTAAAACCTAACAAAAAGTGTGAAACCAAATCTTCCATTAGTAAAACAACAAAAAAACTAACCCGACTCAATTCTATGAACTTACATTAATCACAAAAGATGAAAAACCCCAAAATTTCTTAAACTAATCGATTAAACAAAAAAGACGGTTCCTGAAACTCAGCAAGTGAATAGAATAATCAAAATTCTGGATAAAAGTGTGTACCTTTGTCTTCGTAAGAAGCAATGACTCAACAACAAGAAGTCAAATTCTAATAGCCGACGAGGAATTGGGTCTCGGGTTTGATTTGATTTTCAAGTTTCTTCGTGTGAGTGAGGAAGATATAAAAATAAGACAGAACATTCACGTTATGTCTCTGAGAGAGTGGTTGGGTTCATCAATGGCGGCCCAATGAGAATCTCTCAGATCTTTTTGACGGCGAAGTGGCCGCGATTCAGGAGACAGGAGACAATTAAAACTTTCTTACTCCCGACCAATTTCTCAGACTCTCTTTTACTGTGTTTTTGTTTTCGTGCTTTTTGGGCTTATGTCTCTCTGCAACAACGGCGATTTAAAAAAGAAAAAAAAAAGAGTTAAAACTTTTTGGATCAGAACTAAACAAGAAGACACGATTGTCGACAAAACCCAGATTAAGTAATTACCCTTGAATTTCGAAAATTCTTTCTGACAATAATTTTTTTTTAGCTGCTTATATACAAAAATACACAAACAATAGTATTATTTTCTTGAATGCACTTTAATAGTTTCTTAAAATACTTTTTTTGAAATAATTGGCAAATTATTAACTTAAAGTTTTAACATTTATGATCATCTTTGCGTAAGACAGTGAATGAACTGGCTCCGTTTGTGTAAAATTTACCGTGGTATAATTTATAAAAGACATTTCATTTTCAAGGAAGATTCCTACCTTTATGATCTCCTGACGTGGCTTCGTCCTATTTAAACAAATGAATAAATATGCTTTTTCTACTTGTTTTATTTTTCCATGTAATAATTTGTAATCTTTATATTCTTATAAAATGAAATTTCATAATTCTACCAATAATGAAATAAATTCTATTGATGACAAAAAAAAATGAAATAAATTCGATTGTGTATTTTCTTATCTGGATAGAATTCCAATAATACTAGTATTTATCTAAATCCTGCCACAAATTAGGGAGATTTTAGGACCGAATCATCATATATCCTGCGAGTCTGCGACCATTAAAATTGCTACATTTGGGGCAAGATTTTATCCAGAATGTAACAAGACTTGGAGAGTTTTAATTTTAGTTTTGACCCAAAAAAAAGAAGTTTTAAATTTTAGTTTTGAAAGACTGTAAAAATCAGATTTTGTGGTTTGTTTTAATGGGTGTTCAGAAACGAAAAATTGTATAAAAACTTTAGTTATAAAGTTTTCATATTAATTATGATGAATAATAATAAGAAATGGTTTTATATATAGTAGCTGATACTAAATATGTGGTCGCATTGGGAGTCAGTAAATTAGAGGTGGATTTGTAGTTATATCAACAACCAATACGTTTTACCATACATTCATCAGTTAATTTTTGTTTATTACTTGTTGTAAATTATTAATATGATTTTATTCTTCATTTATACATTTATCTATGTAATGGCAATGAGAAAATGGCAGTTTTTTATTTGTGTGTCACAGAGGTGTATACAACAAAGAAGTTTGTATTGATACATAGTTACATTTTGATCAAAATAATTTTTCTTTAATGAAAACAGCAATATAAGTTTAACCTGGTTCGTCAGAACTATAAGCATCATTTTATCAAATCATATGTATATTGAAACGAAAAAACAAGAATCTGAGTAACTATGTAAACTATAGTACGGTATATGCGTAAGAACACGAACCAGTAATCTTGACTGCAGTTTTGGACTCAAACTGAGCTTGATATGCAACAATGGTGGAATCTTCAAATTTTGAGGGTGAGAGAGATAGATAGAGAGAGATATCTCATATAATATAATGTAGCATTAGTGGTCGACGATGTGTGCTTATATAGTTATTTGTATATTACTATATAGTATATTATATAGTATTATTTTATTTTAATTACAAAATTTTACAATAACAAAACAAACCAGTTGATTATATTTTAAAATTATTGAAACTTTTGTTTAAGAAAAAATGATATACTCCATATTTAATTGAAACTGATTATGACAACTATTTCTTCCCCAGCTTGTAGGACGCATAATCTTCTCTATTTTATGTTGAGACATACACAAAATTTTATCTGCATAATACAAATCTAACAAATGATTCATTGGATGCAAATTATAAATTATAAAAAAAATTATGAAATAACATAATGCGACAACTCGTTACCTTTTTATTTTTGTGATTTGATAACCATTGGATGATATTGTTCGAATCTCAAGAGATTTGATTGGTCAAACTACGCACGTATAATTTAGTAACCAATTAATAATTGATTGAAACAAAATCTGCAACTTGTTTTTGTTATACATGTACCAAACCTAACTCGTATCTTCTTCATGATAATGATTCATGCAAATAATTGAACCATGAAGCAAATGAGTATATTCAGTTATAAAAATAAAAAGCTGATTATTTGTTTATTACAGACTAATGGTGGATAAATCTTGAACGTGGAATGGTTCGAATTGGTGAACTTTTTCTTTTTGATTTATTATTATTTTAAATTACGGAAAAGTGTATAAATGGGAGAGTGTTGACAAAGTTTTACATTTCATTCATAATTAGAGTACTCTACACGCATATGGTCTCCAATTTTAAAGAGCTTCTGTATTCTTGCTTCGTGTCTTTATGTGGTTGAGTTTGAATTCGTGATGGAAATTCAATGTTACATACTTACATACGTGGTTGTGTTCGAATTTGTTATGGAAATAAATAGTTTTATATTCAGTCTTCAGTGATACGAAACTAGTTAGAAAAATTGTTTTATCGATGTACGTAGTAATGTGAGTTCATCTTAGTTTCCACGAAGCCTAAAATAGGCTCATTAATACTATCTTGATGCCAAAAGAGGCACTACGACTAATTGTACCATATAAGAGATAAACTAAAGTATTTAGGAAAAAAAAACTATTAGCTACTGTCTCGAGTCCCATGCAATTGCTGGGTTTTGTTGACTTATTCCGTGGACCGTTCAATTGTGTATATATACTCCATAAGTCTATATAGGTCCATGACGGTATAACATAAAAACGAATTTACACGAAAATATCATATGAATATACATTATAGACGATTATTATAATTATTTGGACTAAAATTATCACTATTTAAACGAATTAGTTAGCAAAATATGTGATTTATTTTATCAAAAAAAAAACATGTGATTTAACTTAGACAAATCATGTAACACTACACGTAAATTAACTTTGTTAAAAAAAATACGTAGTTATCACCGAATAAATGCATAGCATCGAATATATGACGAGGTTTCACGCTGTACATATTAAATTCCAGATATATGCATGCATCTCTTATTGGCAAAAAAAAAAAAAAAGTTACATCCTTCGTGCTGGCCCAAATTGTTTACTCTTGGATTTGGTTGTGATTAATGATTAGTGCGTGATTAGTGATGGAGATATTGATATCAATATCTTGTTAGTTGATTGATTAATTAATAAGATTTGGGTGATTAAATAGGGTTTATGATAAGATTCTGCATGTGATCAATCCTAGGGCTTGGCCGAATTATAACATTAATTTTTGTTTGCTTTAATAAGGGTTGTTATGTTTGTCAAGAGTATATTTGCTACCTAATTATTTTCTTTTCGTTTGACATGATTTTGAATTCCGGAAACGATAACTTCGAAGTTACCAAGTGAAATTTAAACTTTTTTGAAGAGTTCAGACGAAACTCATCCAAGTCTTGGTCTATATATGCTTGGAAAATCAAAAGTTTCAAAAGGTCGACACTACTTTTGATATCCCTCTCTATTTTAACGACATAACAATATTGGGCCGTTGCATAATATGAATCATCAGAGAGGGAGATGTCACCATTACAAAGCCCGAATGTCTCAGTGCTATAAGCCCATTTCTTTGAAATAAAAGGCTCTTCAAAGAAGAACATTTTATTTGCCATGTTGCATTCTAAAAAATAAGTGTGATACTAGTTGCTCCCAACGTGGATCGTTAGAAGTAAACAATCATTCATGCATTATTTTGAATCACCTATTTTTCCAACACCCATGTGGTCATTTAGTTCCAGAAAGTAAGTTTGTTTTGTTGTATATTGCTGTTATGTATATCTGAATTGTGCATGACGAGTGAATTCCTTCAAGACATGATCCCAATTTGGAGATTATCACCTTTCCCACATTTGTCTATAATTTTTGTTGGCTTTCAACTTTTGGATGCCATATTTTTTATGTACCCGACAATAAG